AAATGCAGTCATGATATTAGAATTGATCCTGGGGTCTGGCCACAACCGTAGGGACCTAGTTTCTGCGTCACAGCTTGGAAACAGTTGAGATCCCCACCCCATAACCATACATAAAATTGCTGGGCATGAAAAATTGAATACAGATATATATGCTACAAGGATTGGCCTTGGGGTCTGGCATATTCCCTTGGATCTCATTTGGAGAATATTCTGCCATGATTGCTTAGATATCAAGGTGAGCGATACAGGCCCTATGGGCCTCTTGTTTCAAGATCACAGGGTCAAATATGTTCTAAACCTTTGAATAACCAAGAGGCCTAGGATAATGCCAGTAACATGCTGGGATGAAGGACTACCAAGTTCAAATGAATGACCTTGACATATATATATTTTAAGGTCACAGGGGTCAAAAATGTTTAAAACCATTGAATGACTTCTTCTTAATAAGCAAAAGGCCAAGGGTGATGATATTTGGCCATTAACATGCTGGGATGAAGGACTACCAAGTGAATGACCTTCGCCCATATTCAAGGTCACAGTGGTCAATATATGTTTAAATCTTTAAATGATTTGTTCTGTATAACCAAAAGGTCCAGGGTAATGATATTTTTCCAGAAGCATGCTGGGTTGGAAGACTATAAACTCTGTTCAACCTAATATTATAATGTCCTTGTTCGACATTCAAGGTCACAGGTGTCATATGTTTAAATCTTTTAATAGGTTCTTATGAATGAAACACTGATATTTTGCCTGTAGCTCTATTTTAGTCCACTTTTAAGATTACAAGTGTGAGATTAATACCAGATGAGTGATGCAGGCCCATTGGGCCTCTTGTTTTTGCTTGGCTTGCTGATGTCAGTTGATGGACGTGTTTAAAACCTTGGTTTTGGTGTTGTGTATGATTATGAGAATACATGTATATGTTATGTAAAGTAATTGGCATTAAATTTACAGTATGTTATAGAAAATTAACTTTTGTAAAGATATGTGTCATTTTTTAATACAATAATTATGCTGAATGTTTCAATACAGATCTTATTTAGCTGAACATCACTAACTCTATATGTTTTGTTTTAATACAAGTTTCAATTTGTAATCCATTTTTTTGGAGGATGGAATAAAAATGATTTACTTCAGTCTTGAAAGTGGTCTCCAGTAACATATATTCTTAATAGATATTTCAGCTCTTTTCTATCTTGTTTTAAGATGCTGCAAGTATAGCAATGTCCTCTACAGCTTTCAGGGCAGTTTGTGTCTTGTTTCATGTCACACTGTCGAAATGTAGCACTATTACTATGATGAGAATGCATTTTAATGCACAATTAATCAACTTTCAGAGCCTGGTGATGATATTTGCCCAACTGATGAATACACAAATGGAAGCTGTGCTAGAGTTTCTGACCAGTGTACCTGGTCCTACTGGAAAGCCTGCACTGGAGTTTGTCCTGGGAGAGTGGTGCTCCAGACAGCATCTGTTTTATGGTGCCTATGAGAGGAAAGTTTGGTAAGTAGCTCGGAGATAGTGTGTTTTGTTTGTTTAGGGTTTATGTCCTGTTAACAGCTATGGTCATTAAAGGATGTACGAGGGTTTGGTGGTGGAGAGAAGCCGGAGTACCCGGAAAAAATCGCCAACCTGTGGCCAGTACCTGGGGACTGCCCCATGTAGGCCTCGAACCCTTGACCCAGTGGTGGAGGGCTATTGGTAGCAGAATATCAGACGCCTTAACCACTCTGCCACCGCGGCCCCTGCTCAGGGATTCAACATATCACTTGAACAATATTTTACTCTGAAGGCTTAAAGGAACTATTCTTGAATTTAATTACTTTACAGTGCCCCATCTCATAGCAAACTGTATCATTATTGATGATTGTAGTTATACCTCATACTCCTGACTCATGAAGTCAGGGATATACATTTGCATCAGCTTCTCTCTGTAGACACAACCCTGTAAAATTATAGGAAAGAACTTAAAGCTTAAAACTTGAGCTCAGCCCTTTCTTATATTACAATAAAAATTATTAGAACAAACTATAACACAACCTTCTCTTTTAGTTTCTATCTGGTTTCCTTTATAAGCTTTCATTTAGTTTCTTCAAAACCGGGTAGAATTAATAACCATCTTAATTTAAAGCCATTTTGGTCTCTGGAGTATAACATATAGATATAGAATGATATTTAGTTGTAAATATATATCAAGCATGCTGTTCTCATGATATTTTGAGGGTGGAAACATCTATATATAGGTGTAAATTAGTTTTTGGTTGACAGATCTAGTTCTCTTTAGCATTAAGTGTATTGTTTTATTTCCTTGCAGTTCTGTAGCCCTGTGTAAACTAATGCTGCATGCGATCCAGAACAACGATACTCGACTACAAGAGATCATGGTTCAAGGTGACCAAATAGATTCACAGGCCAAGGGGGTCAGCACTCGCTCTAAAACAGCCAACAGTAAGATTTCACACAAACATATAGTGTTGTAGCTTAGACATATACTCTATACAGGTTTGAAGTTAAGCAGTGTTATTTTTGCGTTTCATCTGGAAATCGAAATTGGCGCAGTGTAGAATTAGCAGAAAAGAGGTCTCTCCATATTTTAACATGGTGAACTTTTAAACTTGTTATTGTGCTCTTGTTCCTATAGTAATCCTGTAATATTTGTTAATTGAAGTATTGCTGTGGTATCTTAAACACTTTAATGTGCCAATATCAACATTTATTATTTGATAATAACATGAATTGAATGTAATTTTAATTGTCTGTTACCTTTTAATTCATGAGGATATTGCCAAAGTAAATTATGGTGTAGGTTGTATCAGTGTTTGTCTTTAGTCCAAACTAGATCTATCATGCCTAGAACTGGACATTTTTTCTGCATTTTTAGGTCACCTGAGCTTTAGCTCAAGTGACCTATTGCTATCCGTTTTCGTCCGTCGTCGTCCGTCGTCCGTCGTCCGTCGTCCGTCGTCCGTTAACATTTTACATTTCAAACTTAAAGTCAAGTTCTGCTGGGCCGATTGAACTGAAAGTTGGTAGGAATGATCGCCTCATGGTCCTGACAAAGTGTTGTTATTTTTCGGGTCGATCAGAAATCCAATATGGCCGCCACGGCCGCCATTTTGAAAACCTATTTCAAACTTAAAGTCAAGTTCTGCTGGACCGATTGAACTGAAAGTTGGTAGGAATGATCGCCTCATGGTCCTGACAAAGTGTTGTTATTTTTCGGGTCGATCAGAAATCCAATATGGCCGCCACGGCCGCCATTTTGAAAACCTATTTCAAACTTAAAGTCAAGTTCTGCTGGACCGATTGAACTGAAAGTTGGTAGGAATGATCGCCTCATGGTCCTGACAAAGTGTTGTTATTTTTCGGGTCGATCAGAAATCCAATATGGCCGCCACGGCCGCCATTTTGAAAACCTATTTCAAACTTAAAGTCAAGTTCTGCTGGACCGATTGAACTGAAAGTTGGTAGGAATGATCGCCTCATGGTCCTGACAAAGTGTTGTTATTTTTCGGGTCAATCAGAAATACAATTTGGCTGCCATGGCCGCTATTTTGCTACTAAATTCTAATAGGCCGATCTCACTTAAAATTGGTCTAGGAATGATCAGCTCATGGTCCTGACAAAGTTAAGTTAACATTATACTATTTTTTACTCAAATTGGTACATATTTCAACAAAAAAAAAATACTGTAGACTCAGGTGACCGTTAAGGCCCATGGGCCTCTTGTTGAATTGGTAGTTAAATCCTTCCGCAAAAAGCTTGAAAATAACACTGCCGCAAACGTTACCTGTTACACAGTATTACTGTAGCTTAGATACATTGTAGTCTAGCTGCCAGTACCAATAATTAGCTGATGTGTTTTTCTAAAAGTCTGATTAAGGTGCATCTGTTGCAAAACTGCTGACAGTAAGATGTATGCAAAAGTTATGATTGAAACAGACACTGACAGTTTTCATACATGCACAAAAAGAACTGCTTGGTGCAATATTTTACACATGACATTCATTTTAACTAAACCTCCAAATACACAGAAGTTTTATACCTACATAAATGATTGCAAATATGGCTTTAAAGATTGGAATTTATTACTTGAACAAGTATTTGCTTACCAGTTCAAAGTCTTTACTATTTCCAAATACTTTGAGACTTCTGATTCTTCTCGTTTTATTATCATTTTTGAATTGATAAACATATAAATCAGTTCTATTTTCGAATTTCGGTATCATTGAAAAGTAAACCAGGACATCACCAATGTTCAAAATAAAATAACAATCTCTCCCACATTGTTTTACAGCACCAGTTCAATGGACCACCATCCCTGTGTTGGTGAAGATTTATAAACTTCTTATCAACGAGCTTTCCAATCAGATAGAGGCCAGTTTATCTAATCGGGCCTCGGGAGGGGACGATCTAGATGATGATGTAAGTAAATATACATGTGTAGAGGTTTTGAACATAACAATTTGATAAGGTTGGCCTCTGTCAATCCAATTCCATTTTAAGTTGTATTTTTTAATCAATACAATATTAGCTCTAAGGATCTATTAAAATCAACTACACAGGAGATAACACATGCACATAAAAAATGAACTAAAACAATGTCCACTGAGGGTTTTTCAAGAATTAACTGTAGGGAGGGTCGGGAGGCACTTTTTCAGGGATCCCAATACAATGTACCCATAAAATCTTAAACTTAAAAGTGATTTAATATAAGATCAGATCTGGTTTTAACTCCACCACCCATGATATGTTGATCAATGTGCTTTTCACCTACCCCACAAGATAAATTATGGAACAGCCCTAAGAACACTTGTTGGTTAGAACTAAAATAGTGTGATTGCTGACTGTCAAATACTTATATCCTACTGCTACTATTACAGGATGAAGGGTGGGATGAAGAAGATGATGATGCTGAAGATGATGAGTTGGTTTACGAATCTCCGTTGTCTGGTCATACATTATCCAGTCTTATAGACCAGTTTGCTGGAGACTTTGAAGGTAAATTTATACCAAGTGTATTATTGGCACCAGTAGTGAAATAAAAGTGTCCTGATCTTTTGTGTTTTTATCGTAGCAAACATTTGCTCTCCTCAACATTTGGTTTAATAGTGAAGTTAAGAAGTACTTTCCACAATGTTGGTGACAATAGTGGAGTTACGAAGTGCTCTCTACAATGTTGGTGTCAGTAAATAGTGTAGTAAAATTGTGGCAAACATTTCTGTGTTTACATTATAGATTGGGGAAATAGGACAGTGCTGTCACAATAGTTAAATAACATCGTGCATTCACTTGGATTTTGTTCCTTTCATCGATTGATGTATACAAAGATGAAATTCCTTGGATTAAACAAAAAAAAACCAGTTATAAAATGAAATATATTTTGTCCTCTTAGTTAAGTATTTCCCTGTATTTCACAGGCTACGGAGCTGATGAGGAGGAGGAGGAAGACGACGCAGACCAGATGAAAGATCCAACAAATCAAATTGATTTGCAGGTATGGATTTACTCAGTATCAATTTTTTATCTTCTACATTATCCAATAGGATAAACAACACGAATACAAAAATTGTATTTCCCAGCGACATAGGCACTGACCGATGTTTATTTACAATCATCATGATAATAAACACAAATACACAATAATGTACATCTCACACACAAACATATAATTCCTAACCTATTATTCTCAATATAATAAGCCCATTTAAAAATAAAAAAAATACACGTGTGCTTCTTGTTACCTGTGTCGCCTGAATGACACGTATAGGTAACAAACCAGCCCATTTGCACGTGCAAATACAACCAATAGCGCCACCTATTGGCATTTCTCATACCAAAGAGAAAATAATTACGTCCTAATTCCTACTGTCAACCGGTTGAAATTATATTTATTTATTTGTGAATCCATTACCAAGTACAGTTAAATGTTTTCACAAACTCAAAACTGCATATTCATCCAAGAACAAAGAATATTTATGACTTGCAGCTAAAATTCTCCATTGGTCTCATCATTGTAAATCTGTTCAAAAAGAATGATAAAAGTAATCATGAAGTCAACTTTTGTCAGAATCAAAATCAAAATCATTTTATTAATTTAATGTTTTCTTATATTGAATACCATAAATATTTCACAAGTATGGCAGAATCTGATACTTTTCATAAGTGCAAAGCCATGTAGGAAAATAACTTACGATATGCAAAAAAAGTTGAGGTTTAGTAGTGTAGTCTGAAGCACTATTTTAATTATTTTATGCTTGACAACAAGACTGTGTGCCATTTTCATTGACCTACTTAGCACATTTCAGTTACTGTATCTTCTACTGTAATCATGTAAGATCTGCTCACAAAATTGTTATCAATTACATTCTATTGTTTGATATCTGCATCTGCACTGTAAATCAACAACTTCGACTGCAGCGAATAGGAAATAATGCTTGATCAAATATAATAGATAGAATTCTATCTCTCTTTCGAACATGTAATTATGTATATGTAGGTTTATCATCTGCCTTAATCTGTAATCAATGTATCCTGTTTGTCTGTTTTAGGCCTACCTAACAGAGTTCCTGCAGTCCCTGTCACAGCAGCCCTGCTATAGCATGTTCACCGCACACCATTCAGAGTCAGAGAAACAGGTGCTCCGTACCATCAGTGTCAACACATGACAGATGCTCCCAGCGATTTTATCTGAAAATCTTTTCAGCTGATTTTCTTGGATTTCGACATTCAATTCATGACGATGAATCTAGACCTCTCATTGCAAATGTTATCTGCTTGATGAGCTCATTTCATGTGGAGGAATCTTCATGCTTATGATATTCATCTCAGAAACACAGAATTGACATCAACGTTCAAGAAGGTTGACTGAGGATTGTTATGGACATTGTGCAATGGAATTAAGGAGTGTCTGTTCCTTCCTCTGTGATTTTAGTGTGGAGTTTTTAGGCTTAACAGCATTATCAGTAATAAATGGGAATCAATGTTTTCCCAGATACTACAAATTTGATATATTTGTGTATGGTTATGGGAATATCATAGCTCAATAACTCTGTATTTCTGTCAGAATTCAAGACCAATAACGCCTTTCATATGATAGTAACTGGGCCGTTTTCGTGTAAACGTTCAAACCGGTCAGACCACAGTTGTTCGTTTCGTAAATAAGGTCGGACCTAGTAATCTGGTGCTACTTTCAGGCAAACCTTGACAAAACCTTGCAAAGCCTGCATAAACATTTGCAGGTCCGCCAGGATTTATACCGGAAATAGTTAAATTTATAAACGCTCAAACTGGTTGTTCCGCACAAACGAACAGGCCCCTGGTTTCCATACAAATACCACTGAAATCTCTTCGATTTCTAGGTTAACATGTCTTGACTTGTCATTACAGATGGGTCATTGTATGTTGTTATGCATTAATTATCATCAAATTCAATTTGCACAGCTTCAGTATTTTGGCTAATAGGATGATTCAAGACATTTTATTCCATAATTATATTCCCTCTCAGTATTAAATGTAGGTTCAAGTGGCAGAATGCAGTGATATTCAATACTTTTATATGGTTGTGAATTATGGGATTTGCCAGTATTTGATGTCAGCTATTTGTGTACAAGACATTACACCTTGATGCTATTTACGCTGCATCTAATGTGTGGGAACAATGTCTGTAAGTGTCTTTTTATAGCAGCAAATGAGTAAATGACTGCATATGCTGCAACACTAATGATCAGTGTAACTCATTACATACTACCTATACAATCTTAAACATGTTCTGAAAAGCAGAATCTCTGTAGAAATGGTTGTAATATTAGCTCTTGTCGAGAACATGTCTGAAAAAACAATTAAGTGATTTTCTTGTTATGATAGAATTGGATGAATTGCAATTTCAATACATGAACAGGTATTAATTTGTGAATATTGCTTAACAATGTAAAAGCAAGTTATTTATATCTGGGAAAAGAAAGATTGCTGTGTAAATCTCTCTACAGTACCACAGGGAGAAAAATCTCCCTACTCTGTGTTCTGATGTCAATACGTGAATGAGGATAGCTCAAGTTTTCTTTCTTCATCAGTCTATTTATCCGTCTGCGTCCGTTAACATTTTACATTTTCAACTTAAGCTGAAATAATGTCAAATTGATTCCATTGATACTTCATGGGAATGTTACCGATAACTCCCTGACCAAGTGTTGTCAATTTTCGGGTCGATTTTAGGGCCAGCCATTTTTAAAAACTATTTCAAACTTAAAAGTTAAGTTCAACTGGGCCGATTTAACTGAATCTTGTTAGGAATGATCAACTCGTGGTCCTGACAAAGTGTGTGTTTTTTGGGGGTCAATCAGAAATCCAGTATGGCCGCCATTTAAAAAAACCTATTTCAAACTTAAAGTCAAGTTCTGCTGTGCCAATTTTTGCTGAAACTTGGTAGGAATGCTCGACTCATGGTCCTGACAAAGTGTGTTATTTTTGGGGTCTATCAGAAATCCAATATGGCTGCTAGGGTCGGTCATTTTGAAAAACTATTTCAAACTTAAAGTCAAGTTCTGTGATTTAACTGAAACTTGACAAAGTGGGTTTTTTTCCGGGTCGATCAGAAATCCAATATGGCCACAAGTGCCGGCCATTTTGAAAAAAATATTTTCCAACTTAAAGTTAAGTTCTACTGGGCCGATTTAACTGACACTTAGTAGGAAAGATCAGCTCATAGTCCTGGCAATTTTTGTTTTTTTCAGGTCCATCAAAAATCCAATGCTGCCATTTTGAAAAAAACCTATTTAAAACTTAAAATCAAGTTCTAATAGGCTGAATTAACTGAAACTCGGTCTAATTAACTAAAACTCGGTCTAGGAATGATCAACTCATTGTCCTGACAAACTTAACTTAAAGTTATACTTCACTTTTTTTACTCAAATTTTGGTAGGGATGATTGACATCATTATCTCCACTTCATATTTCAACAACAAAAATTAATACTGTAGGACTCGGGTGTCCGTTAAGGCCTATGGGCCTCATGTATTTATACACATTTTACTGTTAACATCGTTAAACAAGTTTTACAGGTTTAAATTGGATCAATGCCAAATTATTGAAAGATCAGCTTTTAACATTAATTTGCTTGTACATCAAAATGGCAAATTCTGTTTCAGTTACACACCACAAGTTACACTTGTTACTACTCAAAATAATATGCCTTGCCTGGTTGAAGTAGCGAAAGTTAACAGGCTGTTGGCTGATTAGATGGCAGCATATAGTTTAGGAGAGAAAACTGCTGTTGGAGAAGTGTAATCTTTGGGTCTTTCCTCCACTATTTTTTTTTTAACCCTCTATTTCAGCCTTGCCCTCAAAGATATAGGTAGAGGTATATGGGATTGCTCCTGGCCACTTGTTGCTTTGACCATGATTCCGGCACTCCTTTAAGATACATTATAAAAATGATTGCACAGTGGAGTCATTGAAAGACAGCAATCTGTCGATTTCTTCTGTCATGTTGGATAACTTGTCTACCACAAGTCAGAAATGGGACATTTTAGAAAAATTGTTTTAAAAAAGAAAGTGAACTGTGTATTTTAAGGCTTAATGTTGTTATTTACTGGAAGTGCTTTACCTGTATCAACATTTTATTTTTTCTTTGCACTTGTGATTAAAAGTGCCAAAAGGTTCATAATGACTGATACCATATGATCATTTATTTTGATCACTGAGTTATAAGCAAGGATGAATTTACTTGATCAAGCATGATTTAATATATTCCAACTGTGTTACTTTTAAATTGAGTTATTTTTTCCTCGGGTATCATAATGTTTACACATCTAGAAATACATTGTATTCGTGTATATGTTCAGAACTTAAAGCAGTATGTTTGATCCCTGCCTGTGTTTTTATTTCCCTTTTAATAATTGTGTGTGCAACATTTTATTAGTCATTGCTGCTTGTATTCCATGTCTTGTGTCTGATGTATGTGTTCTGAAATTTGATTATTTATTAAACATGCATCACAGAGCTTTTGCATTCTTTATTATACACCCGTCAAATTTGACGGGAGTATTATGGTATGGCGTTGTTCGTCCGTCCGGCGTAAACTTCGTTTGTCCGGCTATCTCCTCCTACATTTTTCGACCGATCTTTTTGAAACTTGGTACTTTATAATCATGATATGAAGTTGTGTCTCCCTTAAAAGAATTTTGATTCGACCATTTTTTCAAAAGTTATTGCCCTTTGTTTATTTCAGTATTTGATTTTTGTCCAGCAATTTCCTCCTACATTTTTCGACCAATCTCTTTGAAACTTGGTATACATTATAATCATGATATGAAATTGTGTCCCCCTTAAAAGAATTTTGATTCGACAATTTTTCCGAAAGTTATTGCCCTTTGTTTATTTCAGTATTTGATTTTTGTCCAGCAAACTCCACCTACATTTTTCGACCGATCTCTTTGAAACTTGGTATCCATTATGATCATGATATGAATTTGTGTCCCCCTTAAAAGAATTTTGATTCAACAATTTTTGCAATAGTTACTGCCCTTTGTTCATTTCGGTATTTGATTTTTTGTCCGAAGATTTTCTCCTACATTTTTTATAGCATATCAGCTAACCACTCTTAGAATGATGCAGATCTTATTTCAATGTAAGAAAGTATATAACACTATATGGCATTAGACGGGCGTATTTTGTTCGGCCCCGCGGTACTCTTGTTTTTAGTTCTCATGATTTCTGTTTAAGAAAACAATAAGGGAAATAGGGTTAAAGAGAAGATAGACGAACAAAACCATAATTTGAATTCATAATTGATGAAACTAGACCATTGTATGGACGAAGGGAAAGTACTTGCAGAAAGATCGCAATAAGAAAAGCTAATCCGTCACACTTAAATAGCTTAGTAGTTAATTGGTCCCTGTTGATCAGGTGTTAAATGCTTGTCCAGTCTCTTTACTACTTAACTACTGAGCAATATTGGTTTTTAAAAATATCCTAGATATGTATCCTGTTCAGATGTGTCGCGTAATTATATATATACCTCGAGGTCAAATTGACTGAAGAACCGTCTGCTGAACTACTGAAGATTATTTAATGGGAGATTATAAAGTTAAATGGCAAGGTAGTGGAAGCACAAATCGTACAAAAGATCCCAGGTACTTACTGGCCAAATATCATGACCCTTGGCCTTATGGAACTTGAGAAGAGAAGATTATTTGTTGAACAGAAAATGGCAAAGGGTCAAATGTAAAATCTTTGCAATGCTTCTCTGGACAGGAAAACAACTGAACTTCTGATGAAACTTCTAAATGCATTGGAGTAAGGTTGCAAACTTGCAGCAAAAGGTAAAAAAATAAATACCTAGAATGCTAGCGCTTGTCTGTCGTTTCACTTTTGAATTGTTGAAACATTGAATGTTTAGCTCATCTGGCCCAAGTTCAACAAAAATGACATTTGCAACATTTGTCATGAGGGTATTTGATCCTCCATCTTAATCGTGAATATATTGTTTAGCTAAAGTATGACTATAAGTATTGCACCCTCCATCGAAATTGTGGAGATACTGTTAAGCTTGAGTATGAGGACAGATGGTACAGCGAAAAGTTGACAGGTTGTGCGCATATAATCGAAGGTAAAGAGGAAGATTCAAAGTTATCCAGAAGTTCTTTAAAATTCATTACAATAAATATGAAAACATGGTTTTAATCTCAAGATGGAAGGCCATACTGCATCGTCTGTCAACATTTTCTTTTCAATGACTTCTTCTGAAGAACTGGAGGACCTGGGGTCATGATATTTGGCCAGTAGGTACATGGGATGGAGTGCTATAAAGTTTCCTCATTAAAATGACATTGACCTGCTTTCAAGGTCACAGGGGTCAAATATGTTAAAAACTTCAACGACATAATCCAGAGAACCATTTGGACAAGAGTCATGATACTTATGTGTGTTATGTAAACTAGCAGTGCAAATCTTTTCTCGATTACAGTAATGAGGTCAAAGGTCAACTTGAAGTGCTAGTCGGGGATCAATTGTCAACTTTGGTTAAAAGCTTTAAAAAAATTCTTCTCAAGTCCAATAAGGCCCAGGGTCATGATATTTGGCCAGTAAGTACCTAGGATGGAGTGCTATAAAGTGTCCCCATTAAAATGACCTTGAGCTACTTTCATGGGTCAAATATGTTAAAAATTTCAAGCAACAATATCCTAAAAACCACTTGGACTAGAGTCATGATACTTGGATATGTTATGTAGACCAACTGTGTGAATTGTTTTCTCAATTACAGTCATAAGGTCAAAGGTCAACTTTAAGTGCAAGTGGGAAGTCAAAGGTCAATGTGGGTTAAACAGACATCTATCTGTCAAAATGTCTCAGTCTGGTGTCGGGGCCAGAGGAAACTCTGGCTAGGGGTGGTGGTGGGGTCAGATTGTCATAGGGGGTATGACATACATATATATAGATGTATGAATACATTATCTTATGATACATTTCCTTTTACTTGTTTTTAGCTCACCTGGTCCGAAGGACCAAGGTGAGCTTATGCCATACCGCAGCGTCCATCGTCCGTCAACTTTACACTACTAGTCATGAACCACTGAGCAGATTTTAACAAAATTTGGTGTGGAGCAGCCTTGGGTGAAGAAGAACCAATTTTGTATAAATGGTGGGTCTGGCCCCCCCAGGGGCCTGAGGGGCGGGGCCAAATAGGGGAAATAAAGCAAATTATTCTTTAAAATCCTTCTTCTTCTGTAGGAATGAACGGATTTGGTCCATATTTGGTCAGAAGCATCCTTGGGGGAAGGGGAACAAAGTTTTTATAAATGGAGGGTCTCGCCCCCCTGGGGGCTGAGGGGCGGGGCCCAAAAGGGGAAATATAGCAAATTCTTTAAAATCCTTCTTCTCCTGTAGGAATGAAAGGATTTGGTCCATATTTAGTGTGGAACATCCTTGGGTAGTTGGGAACAAATTTTGTATAAACCATGGGTCTGGCTCACCAGGGGCCTGAGGGGCGGGGCCCAATAGGGGAAACATAGCAAATTATTCTTTAAAATCCCTCTTCTTCTGTAGGAATGAAAGGATTTGGTCAGAAGCATCCTTGGGCGAAGGGGAACAAAGTTTGTATAAATGGTGGGTCTGGGGGCTTAAGGGCGGGGCCCAATAGGGGAAATATAGCAAATTCTTTAAAATCCTAATTCTTCTGTAGGAATGAAAGGATTCTTGGGTGAAGGGGAACCAATTTTGTATACACCGTGGATCTGGCCTCACTTTTGGCCATTTGTTGAGCGTTCGCCCCTATGAGGAAGGCTTTGGGTTCTGTCCC